CTACTTAGTTGGCCCATTTGTTGCTAGGGTTGGAACACCATGTCTTTCTTCTATTTTCTTTCTTTGCTATATATATATATATACACACACACACACACACACACACACACATATATATATATATAATTTCTTTGTTGATTTGGGGATCTGTTCTTTCCACCACAATGGAACTTCCCCCTATTAACTCAATTTTGTTACAAGTGTCTTGACAGTGGGTATAAATAGCAGATTCCTCTGAACCAGAAATGTCATTAAACCAGTAGGATTGACTTCCAGAAAATCTGGTCTTGCCTATAGTAGGGTACAGACATGGATATTTTCTAAGTTCCCCGTTTAATTCTAACGTGGATCCAGCATTGAGAACCACAACTTTAGACCCGGTCTGCTTCCAACTCTCTGCCTTTCTTGGTGAGATTTGTCTCAGAGACTCTAAATTATTCTCAAGTAATTGGAAGCTCCTACATAAATTATTTCTGATCTTTCCAAATAATCATCAGATAATTCAAAGAATCTCTAGCTATTTTAATATTTTTTAAAAGAACAGCCTAGGAGGACCAGCAGTTAGTGTAATGGCTATGTCGCTGGACTCCCATGTAGTCGACTGTGGTTCGAGTCCCAGACCTGGTGGCCTAAACTCATGCCGGGCACGTGTGCGTGCATGCCCAAGATCCCGAGAGGAGAATGGAAGAGAAGGGATTGCAGTGTGGCCATCCCCCCCGGGGGGTGATTTCTTGCTTTCTGTGTCTCTGTCTCTCTTGCGAGTGTACGTGCCCTATAGCAAAAACCTCTAAAAAAAAAAAAAAAAAAAAAAAAAAAAAGAAACACCAAAAAAAAAAAAAAAAAAACCTAGGATACTGAATTTTCATTGACTATTTCTTAATAGTATTGTTGAAATATTACAATTAACGTAATCTATATAGAGTCTGATTAGTTCAGACAATTCCCCCAGGTCAGCACTGGCCATCTGATGAGTCTTACAATACTTCTTCAACATGCTCCCCTTCAATGTGTTTCCTTCACTGGAAACAATCCTCTGGGAGTCCTTTTTTTTTTTTAAGAGAGATTTTGCTATAGGGCATGTGCGCTTTCTGGGGAGAGAGACAGACAGACAGACAGACAGTGAGAGGGAAAGTGAGAAATAACCCCCTGGGGCCATGATTCCATCTCCTCTATTCTCCTCTCAGGATCTTGGGTATGTACGCACAAACACCTGGTGTGCATTTTAAGCCACCAGACCTGAGACTGGAACTGTAGTGGATTATGTGGGAGTTCAGCAACATAACCTTTAGCACCATTTGCTGGCCCCAGGAGTCCTCTTTATGTACTGATATGAAAAGATTTAAGTAATGTTATTAAGTGAAAACTGTAAGTGTATATAAAATGCAACTATGTTTAAGTTCATAAAAATGCCATCAATTAATGTTTTTAAAAGAGCAGAAGCCCACACACATACACACATGCTACAACATGCATACCTCTGTGTGTGTGTGTGTGTGCGGGTGTGCGTG